TATCACCAGTATGGAATGGCCAGCATTCTAACCTGACTTGAATTCAATAAAGCATGCGAGAGAAATGCTTGGCTGATGAACCGCAGTTCGTCAAGCATTTCCTACATGTGTACAGGAACTTCCAGAGCATTGCTTGTGAGTGGAGTAATCTTCCTCAAAATGAGCTCAATAATTTTATACTCAGCATGCCTAGCCGTGTTACAGACTGTATTTCATCGTCTGCGTGACATACAATGTATTAACCATCATATTTGTAGAGACATTAGGTTAATTAGAAAAGCCGGAGAGATGAAAAATTAGCAATTGCCTTCGCAAGGAATCGAACCACGGACCACTGGAATACCGGCCCATCGTGGAGAACCACTACATCACGAAAGCACGCTAGGAAGGCGGGAAAAATACCTTATATACCAACCGTGTAATATTAAGTTTTATATTGGAGATATCTTTTGTAATTGTTCCCGGGAGCAAAAATTGTAGTTTTTATGAATGATATCAAACACACACCATCTTTTTTATGTTCTTTATCTTTTGTTTAATAAGAAGGCACGTTTGTTTTGTTTCTGAACCTTTATTTGTCGGAGCTGGCATTATGCTTAATTTATGGGCATGAGTGTATTATGCAAAGCTATCTAAGGGCTTCATCGGAAGACATACGACAAAGCACACCAGGACTATCTGTCACGGTACAGACGATTTCAGGAATGAATTTCATCACAAAATTAGGAATTCATGAAGTTGTTTATTCTATTTGCCGTTTTGGGAAATCAAGAGCAATAGCCATGCCGTCAATTCATTTCGTCGCTCAGAGGGAAATCTAGAAAAATTATTTGTGTTTTATGCTCTAATATCATAAAGAATTTTTTTAAAATAATACAATTAAAATTTATCCGCAACTTTTACTTTGGCAAAGCATTCGAGGGCTATCTCACTAAGGGATGCCTTCGCGCAGGACTTCAAAGCAAAACTGGCTCATATACACGTTACACATGGGGAAAGCCACGAAAATGCGCATGCAGACAGCCTGTTCGCCGAGATTTGAACCCCAAATCGAACTACCAGTGTTCAGCAACTTTACTACTCGGCCAATGGTGGACTCACTACATCGGAGTTTTCGTGTTTTTTTTACAATGTGTAATGAAAAAACGAACCAGTTTGCAAAATACACTAAAGCTAACTACCTAAGGGTTGGCATGCCTTCATTGAGAATGTTCTAATGGAATTCACTCATATTCATGTAATACATGGAGAAAACCATGAAAAACAATCATGCAGCAAGACTGTTTCCCCTGGGTTTGATTCCAGAATGAATACCAGTATTTAGCAGTCTTTAACAGCTCTTTAATTGAAGAAACAGTATGGTTAGTTAGTTTTAAGTGACCTCTGACATTTATTTATACTTTGAGAATTACTATTCACTTGCAGAAGTAGTAGCCATGAGAAGGTTGACTGTGACTGAGTTGTCTCGACCTATTTTTCCTCAAAAACATTAGTTCCATTTATTACGATGCAAACGTTGTTTACAACTGCTATCATCGCATTAGTAGGAATAAAATATTCAGAGACAAATGACTAGTCTCAGATAAATAAAAGTCTTCATCCTGATCTCAGGCAGATAGTCCTCGTGTGCTTCGCCATAATCTAAATAAATTAAACCAATTATAAAAAAAAAATTAAAAAAAAATAAGAGCGAGTTTTAAGTGATTATCATCGTCTCCGTTATTCTTCATCTTACACTATCCTCAAAAACAGAAGCCACCATACATGATTTGTTGAACTGCTAATCATTTGAATATTCTCCCAAACATTGCATCATTTCATCATGCAGATTTCTGTGCAGTCGGATGCTTCATTTCATGGTGCACTTTCAATGACAGCAGTGTACTCAGTGCTGCATTTATCGCTGATCTTTAGCCGAGACAGCGTGAGTATAACGATCTGTTCATTACATAATAGAGATTAAATCTGTTTAACTTTTGTTACGAAATGAAGTACATGTAATTTTAGCATATGTTTATTTTTGTATGTTTTGCAATTTTTTATATTTGTCAAAATACAGTTTTATGGTGGGGGGAGTAGTATTTTGAAATTTTAAGTGCGTTACAAAAGTAACTGGCGCTTAGTGTAAAATTGCACTGGGGCGCCAATAACTCTCGAGTCGACACTGAACACGTGAGTGAATAATTTTGTCCTCTTACTCTAGCTTTAAATAACAGAAAGAATAAGGAAAATCCAAAGCATTGCATGTTACACTTCATAAAAGTGAGCCATCATATACAAGCATTTATTATTTTAGTAAAAAATGTAAATATCTAAAAAAGTTTCTCTTGATTGGTTAAATTCTTCACGGGAAAGAAAGTATCTGTTTTAAGTGAGTACAGAAATGATATAAATGGCATGTTGCCTACATGCAGCTTGGTATTCTTTGAACAAACGAAAAAATAATCTACATAAAATGCTAATAATTACAATCAGTAAAATAATTTTTTTAAATTTATTTCTTATGGCATATTACAAGACAACTAAACATCAAATAAAATACAAAACAAAGAGGAGAAAAATGACATAAGTTTATCTATAAACTCAGAGTGCTCCTCGCTACTCAGTAAGCACTTTCAAATCGAAATACGAAGACGGGCAGGGCATTTGCGGAGATGTGACAAGTTTATGTCTTCCTTAAGATTGCATAAGGGGTACAGAGAGTCAGGAGCAACACTGATGTGTTTTAAGTGCTTAGGAAGGCAATCATGGCCTTCTTTCTAGGCCATTCGGATACTTCACGAATCTATCTAACCATGATTTATTTCTATTTCTAGCTACGAGTTCTTAGAAAAAGGAGTTCTTGACACCTTTCCTAACAAATGACTGAATGGAGTCTTAGGAAACACTTGGTTGTTTTATTTGAAGAACAGAATCTCCCTTCTTAGCCAAAAAATCGGCGGCTTCATTACCCTGAACTCATGGAGGTAAGAAAGGAAGGGAGTGGCCAACCGGCACTAGAAGTGAAGCACTGCTTCGAAGCTTCGGTCACCAGATGGGGTGTTCTTTGTTTACATTCAGAAGCTCGCTTGACAGTGTTCTGATAGTATTTCGACACATGACGACAGTTCCATACAAATCGAAAAAAGAGGACACTTCTCGCATGAAAAGAAACATTCATAGTTTGATGGATAATGGGAATTTGTATAGCTTAGTGACATTTACACAAATATCACATCTTGGTTATTTTTTTGTAAGTAACAATGGCGATTTTGATTATGAATTGTTTTATAAAATTCCTAAGCTGTTGAACAAAATATAAATTTTAACAAAAATGTTATGCTTAAAGAATGAAATACTTTACGGTACCTTTAAAAATGTATACGTCTTTCGATACCTTTGATAGAGTATTCGCTACTTTTAATTTATGTTCCAAATGCCAAAATGTTTTAAATAAAATAAATTTTTTCACATCCATATTTATTGTCACATGTACCTTTAAAATTTTTTAGAGGAGAGGCTTACTGCTGCTCATTTTAAACTCATCAATTTATTTTATATCTAAAAAATATCCCTTTGGGCACGTTTTACTTATTTGGGTTAATAAAAATAAAAAATAGTGAATGCACAGAAATTAAAGATTTGCACATGCCGGAAATGAAAATATGACAATATGTATGGGTATTTATGCATGTGCTTGCAAAATGCACGTAGCTGCCTTTACAACTACATAAAAGTTATTAAATGTATTTGAAATGAAGAATTATTCATTTATTCAAACAACTGAAGAAATCTAATTATTAATGTATCTAATTTATAATGATTATAAATGTTATCTAAATATATAATAACCTTAATATTGAATTGTAAACATAAATTGAAATTCTGTTAAAAGGCATGTAAAGCAAACGCTATGAGATGCGACTTAAGAAAGTAATAAAGAGTTTTTGGAATAGTATTGTTGAAATTAATGGTAAAAAAAAATCTGATAAGTATAATTAAAAGAATTACCCCCCTTACATTTTAATACTCAGTTACAAGTTTAAATAATCTTAAAAAAATCCTTATTTTATTCCCTTCAGAATGTTCAGAGAAAGTTAAGTACTATTTAAGTATTTCGTTAATTTCTAATAATTCTCTAATTTAAAATGAACCAAATAGAGCATTAATTATAAATTGACTTATATTTTTCGATTTAAAAGATGCCTCAGGAAGCTAAAAAATCCTGTCATATTTGAGAAAGTATTTTAGGAAAGAGCTGTATAAATAGAAAAGAAATAATGCATAATTTTAATAATACAATAAACTTTGTTCTTAATTTTTGTAATCCTTAACCGAATCAAATTGAATGACCTTAATTTTTTTTTCTAATGTAGTTAACGAAAATTTGTGAAAATATTTCAAATTAAACCATTCTGAGCAAACTGTTCTGTGAAAAGTATAGCACTTAATTCCGTTCAGAATGAAATGTTGTTTAAAAATGTATTCTTTTCATATACTTAGGACTCTGAAGTGTTTGTAGAAAAAGAAAATATATCATTTATATGCATATTTGGGGGGGGGGGGGGGGGGGGGGGGGGGGGGGGGGGGGGGGGGGGGGGGGGGGGGGGGGGGGGGGGGGGGAGGGGGGGAGGGGTACGTATTACAAAATATTACATCATCCGATCACGTCAAAACCCATTGAACTTAATGGTAAATGACCCAATGTTTTGGTCACTAGTGCTTCAGAGCAGGGTATGGGAAAAACCGGTTTAGGGCCACTCCATCTTACTTCCTACCTCCATGCCCTGAACTCCATGGGCAGGAATCCATTGTAATACAACCTCTTTGTCATTACTTATGAGCCAATTAGGAAGATCCAAACAGTAAACAAGAATACGAGTGAAAAATCATTCTGTCAGTAGCTTGAAGGGGTGCTCTAGAATCTAATAAGAAGACCATCCTTGAAAAAATGGATTTAAAATAGATTCTTATAAGTTTAAAATGACTTTATTACTGCTATTTTGATAAGCTACTCTTACCGTGGGATTCTTTATCATCAGAATCAGTGTTTGTTTCTTCAAGTATATCTCCATCTACGCTTTGGGTTGCAAACTCTGGATGATTGGAATCTGATAAAGCATCTAGTTTCTCTTCGATTTCTTCATCTTCACTTTCAGGAATATTTAGAGATTTGTGACTAGCATCATTTTCAGCACTTGAGAAACTATCTGCAGGTACCTTCTAAATAAAAATGATGATTTTGAAAATTGTCATTTTTGAAAATTGTGAATTGTATTTCATTTGCAATTTTCAGATATCAAAGGAATTTTAAATTTACAATCTATAAAAATACATTCTAACCAACCAATAGGTGCTGTGCATCTGGATGCAGTGCTGCTACCTATACATGGATTCCAGCTAAATATCGAATGCTGTTCTGTATTTCATTGAATGATTTTATTCACTTGGCTGTTATTTTCAACAGGTGTAGATCAAATCAAATATATGCATAGGATTTAATTTATTAGGGATTGGATGAAATTAGTTTTATTTCAAACAGAGCGTACATTTTAAAAGAAAAAGACAGGGGAACGCTGATTTAAAATACAGAAAATGTGAAATAATAATAATAAATACAAAAAATATAGAAGTAAAATTTTAAAGAAAGGAAAAGAAAAATATTAATAATAAAAATGTGATACAAAGCGTGAAGGAAACATTTCACTATTACTTTAATTATGGAATTTTAATGCACAGTTTTCATTCCAATATTTGATGAGAGAATTTCTCGGAACATACATAAAAGATTACACTCAGTATTAGTTTTAGTACATGGGAGTTATTAAAAATAAAATTGTTCACTGCAGAAGTTGATAAGAAATTAATCTACCTTTCAGTTAGAGCAGAACTCTATTTATCTGAACTAATTTGAGCAGATGTATTTTGGACACACGTTTAGGGTAACCTACGATTAGGGCTATTTTCAAAAGAACCAGATACAGCATATTTTTATACACATGATTTTCCCTAACAATGTTATTTTTGAAAATATACTGTGTTTAAAACTTATAAATTTTCATTTTAAATACATTCTTTTCTTACTCGAATTCTATTAAAGAAATAATATGCTTCCATAATTACAAAAATACTAAATTTTTACGACAGAACTCTGATAAGCAGCACTTCGTGACATTTCTGCTATTATCTTGCATGGCAAAAATTCATTTGGGATGCACAGCGTGATTAGAAGATTTTTTAAATGCCTCATTGAAACTTTTGATGCTTCTGATTGCATTCACTGTCAAAAATAACTTTCGGAAACACCACAAATTTTAATTGATGCGAATCATCAATGATCATAAATAGCTGAAAGTCGTCTTCGGTTATATTTCACAATCTACTGTTTTTGCATGCAAATTGAATACTCTCACTGGTGTGATTTCCAAGGCTTATTTCAGGCATATGTTAGAGGTAGAAATCCAAAATAAAGGAAAGAAATAATCAAAAATACATTCATAAAGTTTTACATTATTATTTCACAGCATCTCATTACTGCTATAAATGTTTATAGAAATACAAGTTCACAATCAAGATAACTAAAAAAAAATTGCAGCCATTTCTAGCAAAATATATTCTCTTCTAAATCAAAACCAAATGGCTTGCACTACCACACATGGGCAATTCATAATAACAGCGTCGATGAGTGCTGTGGTTTGGTCAGCTTGTAGCAATCCCTTGTTTACATTATAAATCATCTATCCATTTCTTAATAACAAGAAAACAAACAAATATAAAACAAGAAAAATTCATAAAAGAACTCAAACTAGCGGGTTCAACGTGACTATTCTTGGTTTTATCAATTCAGTCTCTGTATATTTCACCATTTCTGTTATCAGTATTTAGAGTATTACCTCTCAAAATTTTATTGATGTGCGTAAAGAGTTTTAGGAATAAATATTTTTTAAACCAGTTTCAGCGAAGCTTCAGAATGATAATTACTGGTAATGATTATTTATAAATCTTAACTTTCCTTTTGGCTTTGTTTATGAAAGAAGTTTCTACGGAATTTTTCGCTTGATTTTTTTTTACAATCAATATTGATTATTATGGACTAAAAGGCTGATTCAGAGAGAAACAGCAGCATTGTTTTGTCACTATGAAACTGCTCCCTGGCAAGAGCTACGATTTCTGTAAGAAATAAAGAAGTATCAGATTTGCATTCTATTTGAAATTAATTACAAATTTCCAAGGAACTCTAAGAAACACAGACATCCTTTTTTTAAGTTTTCAAGAAATAAATTGTCAATCCATTGATGTTGGGAGGGGAGCTCTCTAAAATTCAAAATATATGATCATCAGGTTTCGCTAATATTTCAATACGATTCTGTTCATTTATTTTTCCCTTCTAAAAATGAATTCTTTACCATGAAAAGCATGAGGGTCCTCCTCCCCTTCACCACTATTTTGGTCACCAATAAACATCACGTTTCTTTGCAAATGCATAAATGCAACAGCGTTCATAATTCATAACAATTTGAAAGCTCACAACACCACCTCACTTTCAGGAGGAAGCATTTTCAGAAATATGAAATTAATAATAATTTTAAAAAAATCTAAAACCTTTCAGATTTTACATTACGCCTAAACGGGCGTTTTTTAACGTTTTTTTTTTGTTACCTTTATTTATTAAATATCATGTTCTTTGCACTTAATCCATAAAAATCAATTCAACAGCAATAACGCGAAATAATTTTAAAGTGAGCATATCTTTAGAATTTCTGATACACAGTCTCGCACGCTGGCAATTAATGTTTTTTTTTTTTTTTTTTTTTTTTTTTTTTTTTTTTTTTTTTTTAACAGTATTGCCATTGCTCGCTTTGAAACCTTTGAGTTTGCTAATCAGAAGTTCGTTAAAGTGTTACAAATATGAAATCGATAATAAAACAAATTCCAAATTTGGGCTTCAAGATGCCCATATTCGGTGGAGGATTACGTTATTCAAAATTTGATGGCAAAATTCAAAATTTGATGCGAGAAACATACATATTTATGCATATTCTTCATTATTTAATTTAAGTATATAACACACGGCGATAATATTTGGTGGCAAATATTTGAAAAGTGAAACACACATTTAAAGTTTTTGATGCAAAATGTCAAAATGAAATTATTCGCCCTTTGGTCTAACAATACAAAAATAAGGAATATGGAGTATTGGATTTCAGTACTGGTGTTAAATTATGAGCAAGTTTGCCCTAGAAAGATAGCATATTCTGCACAGTATTTTGTGTGTTAATTTGAATTAAAGCATGATGTAATGCATTTATCTTAGACAAATTCCAAAATAAAGGCATTACATTTTGGGTATAGCGTATTGAAAAGTAACAGAAATCTACTTATATTAGGGCAAAGTACAGCTCTACAGAATTTTTATCTCTCCTATATTCACATTTTTATTCATCTTTCTGTTTAGCAATTCTCTATAAAATACTTCTGCACAAAAGTTGAAGAGAAAGACATGATCATTATTATTGTAGTATTAGTAATAATAACAATAATTATGAATATTACTGCTATTATTGTAATGATAATAATTACATTTTACTGTTTAATTAATGTAATGGTTGAGCAACTTGGAAAGTTAATAGTTTATCAGCAGTAGGATTAAAATTTATTAGGAGAAATAAAGTTTAAACCACAATGTTTAACAATTCTGTAGGTTATTTTCTTTCACTTCTTTTGTTTTATTGCTCTTTAGTTTTCTGAACTGATTCATTAAAACCTGGTTCCATTAAATATGATGTTGTGATTTATTTTAATACTTTATTTTGTATTTATTAAGATGAAGTACAGAGTTTGGTGCTTTTCTGTTCATAATATGTTGAACCTGTTGGATAAACTGCATCTAATTTTATATCATTATAAAATTATTACAAATACTTTGCTTTCTTTATATTCTCTTTTTGTGTAAAAGCTCTTTCTTTGTCTGTTTTAAGTTTAATGCAATGGCAATTCCATGGCAATTTAAATGTGTCTAAGGCTGGTATACTACGTAACTTTGGGAAACACTGGTCTAGATGTATGTTTGTTGAATTCTTAATCCATGTTTAATGTAATTTATCTTTCCTTATCACATTTTATATTCAATTTTTGCTTAATAACTTACAATTTAGACTGTAGTTTAATCATTTACTTTCAGTGCAATGCTGTTAGACTTTTACTGCAATGCCAGGATTAAATCTATTTAAGATTGTAAGTTAGTGTTAAAATATATAACCCTTTCCACTCAAGATTTATGAAGAGATGGAAATGAGTATGGCATAAACTACAGCAGCAAAAACTTAATCCATTATTATTTGGAAACACAAACTTGTAATCTACATTAAGAAAATGGTAAAGGAAATTACAAATTTTTCTCTGAATATTTAAGATGAGTCAGTTTGAATAATTACTAAAGCACACCGACGCCTCATCAAAGTGGACATTTTTGTGTATTACACTAATTGAGAAAAAAAGGAAGTTAAATGAGTTTTCTTTTTGACAATATTTGTAAGGTTTTATTTGAAATTATTTTATCTTAGTTCTTTTACCCACATTCTCAATTAGCAAGCCCTGTGAATTTTTTCAGTAAAACATGCAAAGCTTTGCATTATTTGAGCAGAATGGCAGATTAGGAATTCAGTTTTGGCAGAGCCAAAGCATGAAGAAGAAAGAATGCAGTTAGCAAAGTATTTTCAGAATTAGGAACAATTCTTAGGACGGCAGCTGCTCAAAGACAGTATGCGAGTAGCATTCATTTCATTTGGTATGAGGAAATCAGTTAGGTTGTTACGATTCAGAGTCCTTTCCATTGCAATAAACTAAGTTATACATAAGAGAAATGTATGCAAGAATTAGCTACTTGTTCTTTATTGTAGATATAATTAAGAGCATTATTAGTCTATTAAACCTTTCTGGATGGTATCCCAATCTCCAGCCCTGTCACTTTGACATGGTATGCTGAGCTTTCATGATGTTTCCACAGGATGGTGGGTACTCGCTCGCTAACACTAATTTTGCTAAAAAATATTTTTATTTCAATTAACTCAGTTTTTTTTTTCAGATATTACAGAAAATGTGTCTACTTTTATGTTTGGTGAATTGTAGAATTAAATACATATAATGTTTGAAGCTGTAATCATATACACTGACTACCAATAAGTATTTGGACACCTGTGATAGAAAAGGAAAACTAATTTTATTCAACATCAATAGTTGGTAGACCTCCACGAGAGTAATACAGCGTGGACCCTCCGAGGCATACTTTCCACAAGTCTTGTATGACAGCTAGTGGTATTTTCTTCACTCTGCTGGAGAAGACATAGAAGTTCTTCACCGATTTTGCACGGGTAGGGCACCCCTGAATTCGGTGCTTCACTCGTTCCAGAGGTTCTCGATAGGGTTCAGGTCTGGACTCTGGGCAGGCCAGTGCATTCGATAACTCCATTGGCACCATTCCAAAGCCATGGTTAACGTCGAAATGACAACTGGCAGTGTCGTCCTGAAAATTAACAGGGGTCCAACCCGTAAAACTGCCACAACGTAGGAAGCACATTGTCATCCAAAAGTGCATAGCATCGAGTTTAGCTTACCATGAATGGGGACCAAGGGTCCCGCCCTACCAGAAAACACCCCCAGACCATAATTCCACCTCCACCGAACTGACTGTTGGCACAGTGCATTCTGGCAGGAGACGTTTCCATAGACGCCAAACCCAGAACCTGCCATCCGAATGGTAAGTGAACCTTGATTCGTCACTCTCCAAAGAACCCGTTTCCACTGATCTACGGTCCAATTCGATGTGCTTTGCACCACATTAACCGAGCATTGCAGTTGGACTTTGTGATCAAAGGCTTATGGACAGCACACGACCATGAAACCAAGCAGATGTGTTTCCTTACGTATGATATTCATTGAAACAATACTCCCGGATGCCTGTTGAAACTCCTCGCAGATGAGGGCCATCGGTTGGGTGCTGTTCTTCTGAATTTCTCTGGACAGCACTCTTCGATCTCTATCTCCCAGTTTGGTTGGTCTGCCGACTCGGGGCACATTCCGACAATCACCGCTCACCTTAAACTTCTTAATCACATAGGCCACTGTCGATTTTGGGTACTTCAGATCGCTAGATATGTCCCTTAAGGATTGGCCACATTTGGGATATCCTATATTATACCTTTCTCGAAATCAGAGCTCCGAACTGCGAGGCATCTTGCATGCGATTAAAGCCGATGCTGTTTCCTACACGATATACACCGGCGGAGTCCGTGAAATACCTTAGGACCGCAGATATCGTCATTTTCATAGATGTCCAAATACTTATTGGTAGTCAGTGTACAAGGTGGTTAAAATTAAAACACCCTTACTATGAGCTCTCTATACATCGAACTACTGAGTGTAAAGACCCCAAAAATTGTTTCACATACTATTCAAGACATGAGGAAATGGATTATGTGGGAAAAAATTAGTTTCAGAAACACCGATAGCTGGCAGCGTACAACAGAACATATGCTGAAAAGACATTTGTATATACATAAAAACTCTGCATGTATACACAAATATCCCCCCATTTTATAAAAGTTCCTTTTATAAAATTTCACTCTTATGAAAGATCTATACAGTCAAAAATCTTTAATCCGGACGTCCATAATCCGGAATGATCTAGATCCGGCCCTCAAAGCTAAAACTTTGCGCAGTCTAATACGTTTATGCATGCACTTTAATTATAACTTACGGTATACTACTAAATTATCTATTTCATTAATGTTGCAGATTGCGTTGTTCCTTAATCTTCTAATTGGATCGCTTATTATTTTTTTAGACTGTTAGAGCAATTTTATAAAAAGCTTGAACTTTCATTATGTCAAATAGAACTTCCGATGCTGGAGCTATCAAAGGATCTACAAAGCGAAAGCATGTTTCGATGTCCATCAAACAAAAAGTGAAATTGCTGCAAAAAATGGATAAAGGCATATCCTTTGTTTCTCGAACATTCGAAAACTGTTTATCAATTTCATGCTCTGCGGGGGGAGGGGGGAACGTGCGGTGCGCAATGAACTGGAAGTTGATCTGTCAGCACTATCTTTATCTCGGGGCAGATGTTTTTATTTTATTCGGCTTATAATTCCTTACTAAATGTAGTATTTATCTTGATGTGTCTCGATGTGCTCTGTCTTTGATATGATTTAAAAAAATTCCTCGTCATTATAAATATCACGAACACATCAAATAGTTTCTGGTTGCAATTTTCTAATTTCGACTATGCGTAATGTATGCTTTTCGCATGTGCGCGTTGAAAGAAATGTTTAATAATAAACAAATCTATATAAGCTTTTTTTTTTTTTGTAAAATTTGATACCTTTAAATCATAATTGTTTTATATTTTCATAATTACGGTTTCAATTTTTAATTTTATAATTTCTGCATGCCATCTTACCAGATTTAAACTGATGATCTATAATCCGGACGCCGAAGTCCCCCGAGTCCGATTAAGACTTTTTACTTATTATTACCTCATTCCACTATATTCAGAGGAGTTTTGCATCATGAAAAGGCTAAAATCTGAGTTGGTTTAAGCATGATAAAATATATGGTCATTTATGGTTGCTCTGTCTACAAAGAAATTAAAATACAAACGTTGTCAGTCTAAAAAGATGAAATAAGAACCTTCACAGCAAAAAAACAAAAAAAAAAAAAACACTGTATACATAATCCTCTCCCTGCCTAATCTCTGTACTTCCTTATTTTGAAAATGAAACTGCACTACATACAACGTCTGTATCGGACTAGTCGGGACTTGGCGATTCGATAGGGGATTTTCCTTATATCGATCTCAATTTAATTTGATAAGGTGGCTGCAGGAATATAAAATTAAAAATATGAACCGTAATTATGATCTAAAATATATGAACCGAATTTATGAACTAAGAGCACTTATGACTAAGGTATCAAATTTACAAGAAAAAAAGCTATATTTTTTTTAACTTTATTAACATTCATCACTTTGTCCTGATCGTCCTTTAGCATAACAAACCCTTTTTCTGTTAGTCATTGCAGTGGGTGTCGAATCCACAATACCAAAAGTTCCTTTTTCTTTTTGCTTATGTCATATACGTTGCCTTCCATTCATACTCCTCTATAATTTTGATCATATATGAATATTTTGAGATCTTATCCGTTTTTGTATGATTCCACTTTTTGTTTGATGGACATCCAACAGGCTTTCGCTTGTAGAGCCTTCGCAGCTCCAATTTGAAAAACATAACGAAGTTCAGCTACTTTTATAAAATGCTCTACAGTCTACAATATAATAGCCGGATCCATTGAAATTAAGGACGCGCATCTGCAACATTAACTGAAATGCCTTAGATAATTTTAGCCTAGCTTATACCATCCGTTATACATTAAACGTGCAACGCATTATACATTTACGTATGCGCATAAAGTTTGTAGCTTTGAGGTCCAGATTATAGATCATTCTGCATTATGGACATCCAAGTTAGAGACTTTGTACTGTATATTATTTGTATTTAATGTGGGGTCGTATTTGAAATATAAGTGTTATTTTAGATTATATGAACTATTTGGTATTGTTCTATGGGATTCTGGGTAGAATGCTAAAAAAACTCTCATATAAATTAATGGCATAGCTCCTTCCATTTATGTCATTTAGCTAATGGAAGGTTTCAAAGGGGGGAGAGGTACGTACATTAGCAAGCAAAATACCTTATTATAAGAAATACAGCTTTTATCATTGTTTTTTAGCAACTTGAAAATACACTAGCATCTTAATTTTGTATTAGAATAAGTGCCATAAGATAAATTAACTGCCATATTATTATTATTAAAGTGGAAAGAAAATACACATTCATATGTGAAAACTCTAAATACTCAATTATACATATGTGTGTATTTTTTAAGATGCAAAGCAGAATGCCAACAGTGATGGTAGGTGATAACATGACAACATTATAACCAATATAAATAATATTAATTAAATGGATAAGAAACTAATGTTGCAATTTTTTTACTTTACTACTTTATTATGTCATATTCAAATATTATATTAAATGTCAATATTAGTCAATATTAAATATGTTGATTAAATATATTTGATATAAGTTATATTGTTTAATATAATAAGTTATATTAAATGACATATTGTTATCACTTTCCAATTTAAACACAAAGCATATAGAAATATCACAGTGCAATAAAATTATCTTTTACTGAAAACTGCTGACTTAATTTCAAACACCATGAAATAATTTACAATGAGGTTAACTAACAATGGCTGATAATAAGGAGAGAATTATCAGAATAATTCCACACCTACTGATAGTAACATAATTTGATGCATATCAAATTAAAAAGGAAATCTCTGAGTTTTAGAATCCTTAATGGCATGCTCTTTGAATCCATACATGTGGGAAACAAATTGTAGTTCATCTGATGGTGATGTTTTAGTTAGCCTACTAGATCATTAGGTGTTACAGCACATACCTTTGTCTATGCGGATATGTTAAAAAATATTTATATTTGTGAGACCTTTTTCGCACAAGCCATTACCTCAATAATCTTCACTTTTATTGATATGAAGAGGGTAACGAACGATATGTTCAAGCAAATACATTAAGATCTTTTTTTTATCATTTTGATGTTATCTTTGTAACTAAAGCCACAGAAATATCTATAAAACTTCAAAAATTGTTTCTTAAAGTACTGCTAGCTGGTCTGTGTAAAAACAAAAAATATAGCCATTTGATGTTGGGTGAAGCAATGAGAATAACCTTTTATAAGCAAAAAGCTTTGATCATTCAATGAATTAAAAGTGTAATGAAAAAAGATATTTAAGTAATTATTGTTTTTACAATTTTACAAACATAATAAAATATTTGAAGAAAAATTTAAAATAATGTAGCAAAGATTAATAAATATAAATTATAATTTTTCCACTATGTATAAATATATTTCTCTGCTCATAGAAAGTAATAGATAAAGCAAATTGTCTTACCTCAGTGCTTGCACCCCTGTTTTCATTTGCAGCATTTTTTGCCTCAGCTAAAAAAAAATTAAAAAAAAAAAAAAAAAAATACTGAAAGTAAATTTAAAAGTTTTAAAAGTTTAATAGCCTGAAAATGTACGATAAAATGTGCCAGATATTATTTTTCTAATAAAAAAAACTAGATGAAGCTGTAATGCTCATGTATTCAACATTATAAAACAATCTTAATAGTTTTAGCAATATATTTACCGTAATCAGGTTAATATAATTCATTATTACATGAAAGGAAATTGACGAGTGTGGGAGTTTGGTTTACTTGATTATGGCAAAGCACATAAGGGCTATCTGCCTAAGGAGAGGATGCCTTCGTGGAGGATTTCCTAAGGGGAACTGGCTTGTATCCACATAAAACCACAAAAATGTCCATGCAACCAGCCCTTTCACCTAGAATGAAACCCTGGTGAAACCTGTATACAGTGACTTTACTGTTCCGCTGCTGGTGCCAAAAATACAAAGAAAATAAAATTCCTCACAAACCTAATTCGATTCCAGAAGAATAAAGCTTTAGATGAAATTAAGCAACATCCAGTAATTTTGTCCCCACAAACCACAGAAAAATCTCAAATGAAAATTCAAACTTAACAGGTATCTGTTAATAATACCTTCACCCATTTTGCAAGCTCAGCAAACAATGCCCTCAAAGACGAAATTTTTTACTTAAGAATGAGTATTTTCTCATGAATGTATCTCCTATGATTTTCAGATTACACTATGGATTACATATACACATGAATACATATACAGTCAAAAGTCTTTAATCCGGACTCCTCGGGACTTCGGCGATTCCGATTATATCAACAGTTAAATCTGGTAAATGATGCAGAAATTATAAAATTAAAAATATGAAACCGTAATTATAAAATAAGAGAAATTATGATCTAAATGGTATCAAAATTTACAAAAAAGAAAAAAAGCTAATATTATTTGTTTACTTTATTAAACATTTCTTTAAAGCGCGCATGCTTAAAGCATACCTTACGCATAGCCGAAATTAGAAAATTGCAACCAGAAAACTATTGATTGTATTCGTGAATTTATAATGAATTTGATTTAAATCATATCAAAGACAAGTATATCAAGATGAAATACTACATTTAGTAATGCACTATAAGCGAATAAATACAAACATCTGCCGAAGATAAGATAGTGCGACAATCACTTCAGTTCATTGCGCGCCGCGCGTCCCCCTCCCCCCAGAGCAGCGTGAAATTGATAACAGATTTCGAAATTGGTTAGAGAAACAAGATATGCCTTTATTTCCATTTTTTGCAGCAATTCCACTTTTTGTTTGATGGACATCAAACATGCTTTTGCTTTAGATCCTTGGCAGTACCAGCATCGGAAATTCTATTTGACATAATCGAAAGTTCAAGCTCACTGTTATAAAATTGCTCTAACAGTCTGCAAAAAATAATAAGCCGAATCCAATTCGAAGATTAAGGAACAACGCAATCTGCAACATTAACTGAAACAGATAATTAAATAATTTTAGCTTAGCTTATATCGCCCGTTATGCATTAAATGCGCATGCGTAAACGCTCATCCGCATGCGTCAACGCATAATGCGTTGACGCATGTGCACAAAGTTTGTAGCTTTCAGGTCCGGATTATAGATCATTCCGGATTATGGGCGTCCGGATTAAAGACTTTTGGCTATATATGAATTAAAGCGAAACTTACATATATCAGTGGTTTCTCCCTTACCTGGCTCACTGGAAGAAGGTCTATCATTTACATGAATGACATCTCTAGATAATGCATTTTCTTCAGAATCCTCTTTCGTTTTTGTAATGGTATTACATAACTCAAATTCATGATATTGACACCTGTATAATGAATAATTTTTTTATTTCCAAGTATTTATTATATGAAAATACACATGCCAAAATGAAACTAAAGAACAAACATTAATTGTAAGCAATACATATACATTTATAAATTTCTCTTTTTACAACGCATCATATAGTGGATAGTGGTGGCTGACTGCTAGCCCAAAACAAAGGTGTTGGCTTTCATCTGCATAAGGCTTAGTTGTATGTGTGTCACTTCTACTTTCATGGAGGTGAAATAGTAAGCTTCCCCTCAGGGCATAATTTTTAAAATTAGAAGTGCTGGACTCTTATGCTAGGGCTTCAGGAATAGTGAATAAAAAATTAATATAAATAAAATAATAAATAAGAGAAATTTATAGTTAATTAAATATAAAAAAAATATACTTTAATTTACATGAAATAAATTGTAAGTGGATAAATGTACTTTAAAAATTAATGATGAATGCTAACATAATTTTGTTTTATAAAACAATGTGTATTTTTGGTAGTTAGATAATTTATGGCACTTTATCTTGGGAGTAAATCCTTAAGGAATAAAGCATGCTTATTTTATAAGCTATCTTATAAAAGTTCGAGGCTAATTATTTCATATTTACATTCTTGAGGAAGAAACAATAAAAGCCATCTGTCTCATAAATTTGTTCCCATAGAAATGAAATCTAGGATACAACTACCAGTGATCAAAACTATAAAGACTACATGAACACTGATAGACCATAGGCCACATGAGTTTCTGATATGCTTGTTTCTTTCTTAAACTTAAGAAATTTTTTTAAAAAAATTTCAAATAATCATTATATACTCATGACTAAAGTTACCTTTATATGACCCCAAATAATGACATTCCACGAAATATCCAATTGATGTAGTCCATTCAGCATTTGATTTCAGTGCGTAAGGGGCTCAAAAGAGTTTTTTATGGCTCTGAAATATCATTCGGAAGAATCTATGAGGTGATTAATCATTGACTGCTTAGAAGTAGGACAGACAACTGTGGAGTGTAGTGAAATGTTTGAATATTTCTCTACTCTATGGAAACAATTTCAAAACGCTGGACCAGTTGTAAGGAGG